AGAAAGAGAGAGAGAAAGAGAAAGAGAAAGAAAAAGAAAACGAGAGAGAGGGGGAAGGTAGAGGGTAGAGGTAAGAAGGAGAGAGCGGGGAAGGAGGAGAGGCAAGGAGAGTAGTCGGCATGGGCAACCACTGGTATGTGGAATCTGCCAGACTAGAAGGTTGGACGGGTAGATAAGAAAGGGTTGGCAGGCAGGCGGTCGAAAGGGATATATCGATAGACATATATATGTATATATATATATATATATATATATATATATATATATATATATATATATATATATATATATATATATTTGTGTGTGTGTGTGTGTGTGTGTGTGTGTGTGTGTGTGTTGTGTTGTGTGTGTGTGTGTGTGTGTATGTACATATGTATGTATTATGTGTATATGTACATATGTATATATATGTATGATATATATATATATATATATATATATATATATATATATATATATATATATAGAGAGAGAGAGAGAGAGGAGAGAAGAGAGAGAGAGAGAGAGAGAGAGGAGAGAGAGAGCGAGAGAGATAGAGAAGAGGGAGAAATTAGGAAAAAAAAGAGCCCAACGAAAAAGGAGAAACAGACACAAAACAAGTCAATCAAACATCGAAAAGCCAAGCAAATACAGATCAAGAGCAAGAAAGAAGGGGAAGATGGAACCTAACGAATAAGAATAAGAATAAGAGACACAGAGCGAAAGAAAGGATAATACAAATCACCGATAAACAAAGAGAGAGCAGAGCTGGATTTTTTTTTCTTTTTTTTTTTTTTTAAGAATTCACGAAACGAGTTTTCATTCAATCCAGGATCGCATTACGGTGATGGCGGATATTCCCCGCATTGATTGCCACAGCACTCGAGAAGGAGAGAAGGAAGGGAGAGGAAGAGAGGAGAGAAGGAGAGGAGAGGAAGGGAAGGAGGGGAGGAAGGAGAGAGAGGGAAGGAGGAGAGAAGAGGGAGAGAAGAAGAGAGAGAAGAGAAGGAGGGGAGGGAAGAAGGAGAGAAAGGAAAGAGAAAGGAGGAGGAAGGAGGAAGAGAAGGAGGGGGAGGAAGAAGGAGAGAGAGGAAGAGAAGGAGGGGGAGGAGGAAGGAACGGAGAGAGAGGAGGAAGAAGAGGGAGGGGAGGAAGAAAGGAGAGAGAGGAAGAGAAGGAGGGGGGAGGAAAAGGAGAGAGAGGAAAGAAGAGAAGAAGAAAGAGGAGGAGAGAAGGAGGGAGGAAGAGAAGGAGGGAAGAAGAAGAGAGGAAGAAGGGAGGGAAGAGGAAGAAGGAGAGAAGAGAGAGAAGAGAAGGAGGGGAGGAGGAAGAAGGAGAGAGAGGAAGAGAAGGAGGACGGGAGAGAGAGGAGGAAGAAGGAGAGAAGGAGAGAAGGAGAGAGAGGAAGAAGGAGAGAGAGGAAGAGAAGGAGGGGAGGAGGAAGGAAAGAGAGGAGAAGGAGGAGGAGGAAAGGAGAGAAGGAGAGGAGAGAGAGAAAGAGAGGAGGGGGAAGAAGGAAGAGAGAGGAAAGAAGAGAGGAGGAAGAGGGAAGGAAGAAGGAGAGAGAGAAGAGAAGGAGGGGGAGAAGAAGGAGAGAGAGGAGAGAAGGAGGAGGAGGAGAAGAGAGAAGAAGGGAGAGGAAGGAGAGAGGAAGAGAGAGAGAGGAAGAGAAGAGGGGAGAAGGAAGAAGGAGAGGAGGAGGAGAGGAGGAGGAGGAGGAAGGAAAGAGAGAAGAGAAGGAGAGAAAGAAGGGAGAGGAAGGGAGGAGAGGGAGGAAGAAGGAGAGAGAGGAAGAGGGAGGGAGGAAGAAGGAGAGAAGGAGAAGAGAAGGAGAGGAAGGAAGAGAAGGAGAGAGGAGGAAGAGGAAGAGGGAGGAGGAAAAGGAAGAGGAGGGAGAAGGAGAGAGAGGGAAGAGAGAAGGAGGGGGAGGAAGAAGGAAGAGAGAGGAAGAGAAGGAGGGGAAGAAGAAGAGGAGAGAGGAAAGAGAAGGAGGGGAGGAAGAAGGAGAGAGAGGAAGAGAAGAGGGAGGTAGAAGGAGAGAGAGGAAAGAGAAGGAGAGAAGAAGGAAAGAGAGAAGGAGAGAGGGAAGAGAAGAGAGGGGGAGGAAGAAGGAGAGAGAGGAAGAGAAGGAGGAGGAAGGAGAGAGAGGAAGAGGAGGGGGGAGGAAGAGAAGGAGGGGGAGGAGAAGAAAGAGAGGAGAGAAGGAGGCGGAAAAGAAGAAGGAGAGAGAGGAAGAAGGGGGAGGAAGAAGTAGAGAAGGAAGAGAAGGAGGAGAGGAAGAAGGAGGGAGAGGAAGAGAAGGAGGGAGGAAGGAGAGAGAGAAGTGAGGCAGAGTCAGGAATGAGAAGAAAAATATGGGAGGAAGAGGGAAAAAAGGAAAGGAGGCAGAGTCAGGGGAATGAGAGGAGGTAAGGGAGAGGAAGAGAGGGGGAAGAAGAAGAGAGAGAAAGGTGACGGATGGAAAGGAAGAGAGGGGGGAGAAAAGGGTAAAAAAAATGTATGGTAGGGGAAGGAGAGAAGGGAAATAGCAATAGAGGAAGAGGGGAAGGAGAATGCAGGGAAGATGGAAGAAAGGGGATAGAGGGAGAAGGGAAGGGAGGACTGGAAGGAAGATGGGAGAAAGGAGGAAGGAGAGAGATAGAGGGAAATAGGAAGGAGGATAGAGGGAGAAGAGAAGGGGGAGAGAGATAGAAGGAATAGGCAAGACATGAAGGGAGGAAGGAGGCTAGAAAGAAGGTAGTGAGAGAGAGGGTGTAAGAAGGAGGAGAGAGAGAACAGACAAGGAGGAAAGGAAGATGATTGGGGAGAGAGAAAAGGAGTGGAGAGAGGTGGATAATGAGAAAGAAGGAAGGAGAGAGAAGGAAGGGAGATAATAATAGGCATAGAAATACGAGAAGGAAAAGGGAAGAGAAGGACAATAAGGAAAAGGGGGCACGTGACGGACGAAGGACGGAGAAAGAGACAATAAAGAGCGTGAAGAAACAACACAGAATAAATAAAACAAAAGGGATAAGACTAGAAGGAAAAGATAAAGAAGGTGTAGAAAAGAGAGATCGGTGAATAGGTAATAGGAGAAGGGAGGAACAAAAATATGGAAGGGGGAGGAGACTACGAAGAAAAAGGGTGAAAAAAATGGATGACGAAAGGAGATCGAGAAATAAAGAGAATAGGAGAAGTAAGAAAAAATAAGCAACGGCCAAGAGGAATAAGAAAACAAAAGATGAAGAAAGGAGAATAACAATAGCAAAAGATAAGGAAGGGAGGAAGAAGGAGAGAATGAGGAAGAAGAGAGAAGGAAGTAGGAAAAAAAGAACAACGGGGAGGGAAGGGAGGTAGGAGATCTCGAGAGGGGGGGGGTGGCAGAGACCTTGGAGGTAAACAAACCAACCATTAGGTTTGTGAACACGTTGTCATGGAGGGAGGGGGGGGAGGGGAAAGGGAGGAGAGAAAGGAGAAGAGACGGGGAAGGAAAGGACAAGATAAAGAAAGTGAAACGAAAAGAAGGAAGGATAATGAGAAGATAAAAGAGAATGTGGAATGAGGAAATGTGGAATGAGGGGAAAGGGAGTGAGAGAGAAGAAGAGGACGGGAAGGAAAGGACACGACAAAGAAAGTGAAACGAAAAGAAGGAAGGAATGAAAGATATGAGAAAGGTGGAATGAGGAAATGGGAGAGAAAACGAGGACGTGGGGTGGGGGGGGGTAAGAGGAGGTAGGAGGGGGAAGAGAGAGGAAATAGAGAAAAGGACCCATTGAAAAAAAAGTCTTTGGACGGGGTCAGCGAGTGAGTCGGACAGCGGCCAAGTGGCGGGCGTGCGGGCGGCGTCCAAGGGGCGTGCTCGGAATGGACAGCTGGCAGGGTAGGCGCGGCGCTGCTCGGGGGGGGAGGGGCAGGAGGGCAGAGTCAGGAAGGAGGGCAGAGTCAGGGCAGAGTCAGGGGAATGAGGGAGGGAAGGAGGCAGAGTCAGAGGGAATGAGGAGGGAAGGGAGGAAGGAGGGCAGAGTCAGGAATGAGAGGAATGAGGGAGGGAAGGGAGGGAAGGAGGGCAGAGTCAGGGGGAATGAGAGGGAATGAGGAAGGGAAGGAGGGCAGAGTCAGGGGAATGAGAAGGGAGGAGGAAGGGCAGAGTCAGGGGGGAATGAGATGAATTAAGGAAGGAAGAGGACAGAGTCAGGGGAATGAGAGGAATGTGGGAGGGGGAAGGAAGGAAGGAGGGCAGAGTTAGGGGGAATGAGAGGGAAGAGAAGGAAGGAAGGACAGAGTCAGAGAAATGAGATGAATTAAGGGGGAAGAGGGAGGGAAGGAAGGGAGAAGAGGGAGGAGAAGGAGGGAGGGCAGAGTTTGGGGGAATGAGAGGAGGAGAAGGAGGGGGAAGAAGGAGAAGGATGGAAAGGAAAGAGAGGAAAGAGGAGGATGGAAAGGAGAGAGAAGGAAGAATAAGAAAAGGGTGAAAATGGATTTGAGGGGAAAAGAGGACACACACGTACACCCAAACACAAAATCACACACACACAAACGCTCATACATAACCATCCTCTCCTGCACACACACACACACACACACACACACACACACACACACACACACACAACAAGACCCCCATTCACCTCCACGCACTCACATTTCCACGCAAACGGCCGCCTACGAGATCAGATTTCAAAACACAGAAACCACGAGAAACCGCTGAGTGTGAGTCACGGGTACAGTACCGGGGGGGGGGGGAAGGGTAAATTCGGAAGCCGGTGATGCAACCACAGGGACGCGGCCGGGGGGGGGAATGCGACGCAGTTGGGGAAACATCGTCTTCGGGATCGGATGAGCGGAATGGCGCTGCTGGGTCTCGGCGTACCTGTGTCGGATTCTTTTTTCTTTCTCTCTCTCTGTGTTTATTTTTTGCTTTTTCTTTGTTTGTGTTCTCTGTTTCTGGCTCTCTCTGTCTGTCTCTGTCTCTGTCTGTCTGTGTCTGTCTCTCTCTCTCTCTCTCTCTCTCTCTCTCTCTCTCTCTCTCTCATCACTCCTCCCTCTCTCTCCTTCTCATGGAATGGACATGGAATATACACGTAGGCTTCCATTCCCTTTTTACCGACACAGTGACATCAAAGCGCCACCTCGAGGGACTTCCCACGGGTTGGCCCAGCGTTTCCGGCAGAATTCGGAGTACACGCGATGACCCACTCACCGGGGCGTTGCAACGTGCATTAATGTGTAGGTGTAGCTGTCACATTATGTTTTTTTTTCCTTCTTTCTTTCTTTTGTCCTTTTTTTTAATAAAAAAAAAAAGATTTTTTTTTTTTTTTTTTTTTTTTTTTTTTGATAATCTCTTTGTTATGTTTTTGAAGGATAGTTAGTGCTCTTCTGTTTCCTGTTGTACTTTTTTTCCTACCGATTCTTGTTTCTCAGTTTTTATCTCTATCCCTTTCATATTCCTTTTGTTTTTGTTTTTGTTTTTTCTCTGTTCTATCTACCCATCTTTCTTCCTCCGTCGTTTATCCTTTCTTCCTTCCTTCACTCCCACTGTTTCCCTTATATTTTGTTCAATCCTCTCTTTATTCCTCACCTCTCTCTCTTCCTCGCAACTCTCTTTCTTCTCTCTCTCTTCCCTCTTTCTTTTCCTTCTTCCTCCCTCTCTTCTCTTCCTTTTTTTCCCTCCCTCCCTTCTTCCTCTCCTCTTTCCCTTCCTCTTTTTCTCTTCCTCCTCCCCTCTCCCTCTCCTTCTCTTCCCTTCCTCTTTTTCTCCCTCTCGCCTCCCCTCTTCCTCTCCTCTCTTCCCTTCCTCTTTTTCTCCCTCTTCCTCCCCTCCTCCTCTCCTCTCTTCCCTTCCTCTTTTTCTCCCTCTCGCCTCCCCTCTTCCTCTCCTCTCTTCCCTTCCTCTTTTTCTCCCTCTCGCCTCCCCTCTTCCTCTCCTCTCTTCCCTTCCTCTTTTTTTCCCTTTCTTCTCTTCCTTTTTTCTCCCTCTCGCCTCCCCTCTTCCTCTCCTCTCTTCCCTTCCTCTTTTTTCCCTCTCTTCTCTTCCTTTTTTCTTCCTCTCGCCTCCCCTCTTCCTCTCCTCTCTTCCCTTCCTCTTTTTCTCCCTCTCCCTCCCCTCTTCCTCTCTCTCTTCCCTTCCTCTTTTTCTCCTTCTTCCTCCCCTCTCTTCTCTTCCTTTTTTCTCCCTCTCGCCTCCCTCTTTCCTCTCCCTCTTCCCTTCCTCTTTTTCTCCCTCTCGCCTCCCCTCTTCCTCTCCTCTCTTCCCCTTCCTCTTTTTTCCCTTCTCTTCTCTTCCTTTTTCTCCCTCTCGCCTCCCCTCTTCCTCTCCTCTCTTCCCTTCCTCTTTTTTCTCTCTTCTCTTCCTTCTTTCTCCCTCTCGCCTCCCCTCTTCCTCTCCTCTCTTCCCTTCCTCTTTTTCTCCTTCTTCCTCTCTTCCTCACTTCCTCTCTGGCTTCCTCTCTCCCTCAGGCTTAACACCAGCGCTTGCATAAGGGAGGAAGAGCCAAGTGTTGTTGCGTGGGAAAATAACTATTATCTAACCTCTTTCATTTGATTCCATTCTCGTGTTGACGGGCGGGACGGGGGAGGGAGTGGGAGGGAGGGATGGCAATGCTAATGTTGACAGATAGATTGATTGATAAACAGATGGAGGGAGGGAGGGAGAGAGAGAGAGAGAGAGAGAGAGGAGAAGAGAGAGAGAGAGAGAGAGAGAGAGAGAGAGAGAGAGAGAGAGAGAGAGAGAGAGAGAGAGAGAGAGAGAGAGAGCGCAAGATAGGGAAAGAGTTTACAATCGTGCATGTGCGTATGTGATGTGTATTTGTGTCTGTCAGGGAGGGGGGGGGGTCTGGCACGGAGCAAAGATTGCCAAAATCGTCTGCAGGTGGTTGTTGTCTCACGTACACAAGTCTGGCCGGTGAACATGGACGCACATACATGTAAGTACGACCTACACTGAGCAGAATGCAGCGCACGCACCTGAATGCACGTACACGCTCACACGTGCACGCTGTTATTCACACACACACACACACACACACACACATACAGATGCATATGAATTCACTCACATACATTTACATATTTTCAAACAAACATTGTTTCTTGATTATATAATTAACAAATAAAGAAAAATGATTACGTAAGAAATTTAGGCGACTAAATAACAAAAATTAGATATAAAATAGTAAGGAAAATATCGTAACATATGAGGAATAAATAATACACATAAGAAATTATATAACGGAAGAAAGAGTTAATTTCCTTCTCTCTTTTCCCCTTCCCATCTCCATCTCTTTATCCCGCGCTCTTTTCGCCCTCCTCCTCTCTCCTCCTTTCTCCACCACCATCTCTTCCTCCCTTAATTTCTTCTTTTTCACCCCCCCTCTCTTCTTCGCTATCTTTCTACCCCATCATTCCCCTTTCTTTTACTGTCCTCTTCTCTCTCCTTCTCTCTTCTTCACCAACTACCATCTTCCTCTCTCTCCTCTTCTACCTTTTCGGCCACATTTACTCCTCTTTTCTACTCCTTCCTTTATCATCATCTCCCTTTTACTCCTTCCTTTCTTCTTCCTCCCTTTCTTCTTCCTTCCTTTCCTCCTCCTTCTTCCTTCTTCCACGTCATCTTAATCTCTCTTACGCAACATTTTTTTCCGATGACGAATGCAAGTGTGACTTCCTGATACAGATTACGCTTCGTTGCACAATGCATCTTCTGTCAGGTCGTGTATTGCATCTCGTGTGGATATGTGAAGTAACTGGATAAAAGTTGTTTTTTATGATAATTGATGATAAATGATAATGATGATAGACATAATCAAAGTAATAATGATGATAGATCAAAGTAATATGATAGACATAATCAATGATGATAGATAATCAAAGTAATAATGATGATAGACATAATCAAAGTAATAATGATGATAGACATAATCAAAGTAATAATGATGATAGACATAATCAAAGTAATAATGATGATAGACATTATCAATGTAATAATGATGATAGTATTGATGTTATTGATAATAATGATGATGGTGGTGATGATATTGATATTATTGAAAAAAAATGATGATGATGATGATGATGATGAAGATGATGATGATGATGATGATGATGATGATAATGATGATGATGATGATGATGATGATGATGATGATGATGATAATAATGATAATAATGATAATAATGATAATATCAATAATAATAATAATAATGATAATGATGCTAGTAATAATGATTATGATGATGATAAAAAGTAATGATAATAATAACAACAATTGTTATAGATTAAATAACAAAATCAATAATAATGATAATGATGATGATTATAATGATGATAACAACAATAACAATTATAATGATTATGATAATGATAATGATAATATGATTTTAGTAATGATAATGCCTATAATAGTAATAACAATAATAAGAATGATATTATTGATAATAATAATAATGATAATGATAATAATAACAACAATAATACTAATAATGACAATAATAACAATGGTACTGATAATAAAGATTGTAATACTAATCATAATGATAATGATGATGATACTAATAATGATAATAATTAGAAGAAGAATAACAATGATAATGATAATGACAATAGTGATAATACTAATGATACTACTACTAATAATAAAAATGGTAGTAATAATAACAATGATAATAACAATAATAATAATAACAAAGTTTATAATAATAATAATAATTATTATTATTATTATTATTATTAGTATTATCATTATCATTATTATTACTATTGTAACAATAAGAATGATAATCATGATAGAAAGTTAATAATAACCAAGGTAGTCTGAAACAGGTAGCTCCACTTCGTCTTGATGAAAATCCTAGTTGGCAACTTCTGAGCTCAGCCCCACCTCTTTGATTTATACACTGCAATCTTTTTTCGTTTCTTTGTTTTTTGCTTGGTGTCGTTTTCATTTATGTTTTTACTATTGCTATTTCTGAACCATTTTCAAAGAGAATGCACTGAAAACACAACATGACAAGCCGATCAAATAAAGGCACGGAGTTTATGACGTCATCATCACCTTTAGCCAATGAGAGTGCGCTGTGAGATGTCAGACATAGCTAGATACATTATTTACTCGATAATGTTATAATTACCCAGAGTAAAAAGAAAAAGGAAAAAAAAATCCCCTCTTTTATTTATGATCACGAAGAGTTTTTTTTTTTGGTTGCAACAGGTTAGGTATACCTTAATATCACAATATTCATAACAAGAAAAATAATTGTAAGAACAACATGATAACAATAATGGTGATCATGATACTAATAATGATAACAATAAGAATGATAATGTTAAGAATATTGATAATTGTAATAGTTATGATAATGCTAATGATAATAATGATAACGACAATATTCATAATAACAATAACAATAATAGTAATCATAAAAATGATTATATTGATAATGATATTGACAATAAACAGATTATGAATGATGACGATGATAATCATAATAGTAATGATAATAATGATAATAACAAAAAACAGTAATAATGAGAAGGGTACTAAAATAATGATAATGATAGAAATGACAATGATGATAAAAATGCTGAAAATATAATTACTGTAATAAAAATGATAATGATAATGATGATTTTAAGGATGATAATAACAATAACATTCATGATAATGATAATAACAATAATTATGAAGATGATGTGATAATAATAGTAATAATAATGAAAATAATAATTAGTAATAATAATGATAATAATGATAATGATAATGATAATGATGATTATGATAATAATGATAAGAATGGTAATGATAATAACAATGATAATGGTAATAATAAGAATATGCAAAAGCAAAAAAGGAAAAAAAGATAAGAACAGCAGCAAAAGTAATAATAATGATGATGATAGTAATAATAGTAATAATGATAATAATAACAACAATAATAATAATGATAATGATAACGATAATAATCATAGTGATATTAATTATAACAATAATGATAATGACAATGATAGTGATAATGATGTTGATGTGATGATGATGATAATAATAATAATGAGCATAATGATAATGATAATAATGATGATGATGATAATAACAATAATGATCATAATAATAATAATAATATAATAATAATAATAATAATAATAATAATAATAATAATAATAATAATAATAATAATAATAATGATAATAATAATAATAATAATAATAATAATAATAATAATAATAATGATAA